ACACACACACACACACACACACACACACACACACACACACACACACAGATATTGCTATCGGAAAGTTACGGAGACGATAAAAAAAATCTCATCCATTATTTTAACGTCACCTAAATAATAACATTTCCAAACAAATTTCACGATATCCGCAACTATTTCGATCGATATCATACCTGACTCGTCTAGTCCCAATTTTCCCTCATATCGCGCTCATTTCTTTCGTAGTGTCTCGCGTCGCAACGATTCGATACAGGATAGTCGATAGCCGCGACGCGCCCTTAGAGGAATCGTAGCTACAGTAATCGAATGTTTCAAGAAAAATCATGTTTCGATAGTTTTCCTCGGACCACCGTGTACGTCAACGTCGAAGACCGATTGTGTGTCGATTGTGGGAACCCTTCGGCGCGTGTTGGTGAACGTCCTTTCTCCGTTCGCGCACACTCGGCACTCGATACGCTCGCTTCACGTTGCCGTTCACGAGGATAAGGACGCGTGCTCCTGCATGTGTGTGCGTACTAATGTGCATCACGGCTGCGAGTACAACTGCACACTCTACATGCAATTCTACTCATGCGCCTCATGGTCAGGGCGGGACGCATTATTTTCCGCAATAATGCGAATGAGCGTTCTTTGTACGAGTGATGGGACGCGCGGTCAGGGACTGAAAATTATCAAACTATTCCGTCGAATGCGTCGAGTGAGGAAAGAACGAGGAAAGAGTAAGTTTATTCCAAGAACGTTACCCTTCGTTGACACATCCTTAAGACCTTGAACGTACGTAACACGGTACGTTTATTTCGAATAAACTTTTTTTTTCGCGTGCAACGTTTTATTATTGACATTACCTATATTATTCCCCCAAAACATGTATAGTTTCACGATAAGTAACCAAGTGTCTATACACCCGACTAATAACAATAAAACCGATTTAAAGACACGGAGTAGCATACGCTTACGCGCCATCAGACAAGTTGTAAGTATGTATGTGGTACGTGTGCGGTAGAGAACACGTGCGTTGACGTGGAAGTGCACAAACACGTGGAAACGAATACGAGAACGTTGAGTGACTAACATACGTGATACGTTATGCGTATGGAAGGTTAAGCTATGAAACTGTTTCGTTCATTGTATCTTGTGGCTTGTAAGACTACATGACGCTGCTGTCGAGTATCGCAACGTTTAGGACTTGTTGCCTATCCGATTCGATTCGATTCGATTCGATTCGATTCAACTTTCCAACTACTTGTAATGTTAATTCGTATTTGCTCGTTGGCGATCCTACATCCGAAACAGTTCGAAACCATGTTCACGGAATAACCAGCTAACTGTATGCAGACAATGGCCGAGGGCACTCGGTATGCATCGTTGACTTCAATTATGCGAGGAGTTCTCAACTTGGCGCCTACGTTGGCGTTGCTACGATACACAATTACAGAGTCGTGGCTGTGCGATATCGAACGTCGAACCTCTCGATCGCGAATATTGCGTTGGTCGTTGTGACTTGTGTGTCATGTGTCATGTGTCACGTCACCTAATGCGACGCGTTAACTTTTCGCAACTCTACTTGGGTAAAGTTGTTCTTTTCGCTTGGCATCCAGGGATTTAAATCGACTTAAGAAGAGTAGGGAATTAAGCTTGTCGGTAGTTTAGGAATAATATCGATATGGCAAGTTGGAAATAATCCGAAGCAATTTTTGTTAGGTATTATGCGCGGGTGTACGATACGATTAATGTAAACGTCTACGAATACTTAGTGTGCGTATAAAAGGCACGATGCTTTCAAGCGATTGTACGCAATTGTGAAGGTGCATGGTTGCCGGTGTCAATGTTCGCTAACTAAACAACAGAATCATTCGGCAGGAAGTACTATCTTTGTACACCGAATTTCAATCAGTCCCCACTCTAAACAGTATGTGGTCATAGCCGAGCCCGAATGTGGTCAACTTGCGATCGAACGATTCCGTTTCCAATGGACACACGCCGTTGCTTATTCATACGAGTTGAAAAATGAATAACGAATAAATGTCTATTTACACATATCCGTAACGTGTCAGTTCCGTAATGTTCCATCAGTGTCAGTGATTTTAAATATTCTTCCGACACTGCTCCGTGACGTTACTGATACGGTACGGTCGCCAAGTTTTTCTTCGATAACGACCCTTACCAACAAAATAGAGCGCGATAAAGCAGGCGCCTACGAGAGACAAGTTTCTTTATCCGACTTAAAGTCGGTTGTTTTCCAGCGAGCAACGGATGCCTTCTTAATTACGCGTGGAACGTTAGATAGTTTTCTTCGCTTTTCACCATCGAGCTGTTGTCATGATGCTCGTGCCGCGTAAATATTACGTACGTTCAATTCAGAAATTGACGCGATCAACCGATATCTGCTTAAGGTTTTTCGCGGGTTCGCATCGAACGCAAGGGAACGCCAAACACAATGCGAGCGAGCGTCCATCGATTAACTTTACATTATCGCTTATCGTGCATACCGTATATAAATAGCAGTAGACGGGGAGGGTTACTATCTCGCGAAAGCTTGAGCAAAAGTTAGCAATTCCTCGGAAATCTCGTCGACTCTTTCGAATCTATTCCGATTCTGCCGTTTCGTTGAATGCACTCGAAAACTGAATTCCCTTTATTTTCCGTATCTGCGTCAACCGCAATTCCGTATCCCGATGCAGAGCGTGAGAAAGTTTCCCCCTAAAAATAATGAAGCACGGTCACCCAGACGCAGACGCAGACGCAGACGCAGACGCAGACGCAGACGCAGACACAGACGGAGGCGCGCCTATAATTCGAGTGCTCGTAATTAAGTGCATAACGAGACTTGTTTACACCGTGTCGGTTCTTCGTAATCTTCAGAGCCGCTTAGTCTGCCGTTTTAATCGGATACTTCTTAGAATGGAATGTATAGCGTGACCATTGTGCCCAATACAATAGCGAAACGATGCAACTTGGCGTTGCACACCCTTTGATGGAATATTCGTCGAGTGTTCGTTACTACCGTTAAGCATTTCGGCGATTGGAATCTCCGATCCTTTCCAAGACTATCGTATTTCGATTAAATTGCGAAAAAAATGTGAAACCAATAGACGAAAAAGAAAGTCGAGAAGCAACTACACCTAGAAGATACGCGAGTAAACGCGTCAGGGTGAAAATGTTAAGCATTTACCACGTGTTCCTCACGGTTTACTTTCGTCTCTACAACCGCGTATTCGCTGTGCATCTTTCAACGAATATAGATCACATGATAACTAGCTTTTCATCGCAAAATCGTACGGATGAAAACATTTAATGAGAATTGTTAACGACTTGTATCGACGAGCAGTACTCGGTCGAGGTCGAGGTCGAGGTCGAGGTCGAGGTCGAGGTCGAGGTCGAGGTCGAGGTCGAGGCAAACAATATTTCCCTTTTTTCATCAAATGATGACTAGTCAATGAAATGTGGTGACGTGACGCAAGTGTCAACGCTGGTAAAAATCTTGAAACAAAACCAACTAATTCGAAGCTTGGTTCGGTGAAAAAGTACGTATAACATATCAAATTATCAAGCCATGGTAACAACCGACTTTGTGTACCACGGTGCGCAACACTTTACGGTATACAAGTTTGAAATTTCACTTTCCAACGGCGAAAGGTTAACTAAACAACTCGATGGATATTCGAGTAAAGATCTCTCTCACCTTTATTGTCGCAGACGTCGCAGAGCACCATCTCCGACGCGAACAACGGGCTCGCATGTGCATCCGATCGCGTGATCACGCCTGCACTGGGACTGGACTGAACTGGGCAGACTGCACTGGAGACACTTTTGCTCTTTCGAGCGAAAGAGGACGCGCGTCGATTGACAATGCCAGGGAACGCGTCAAAAAGAAAAACAACCAAGATAAACACCGCGTGTATATCGATCGAGTTCCACCATTAGAGGCATCGCACCGCTTACAGGACACCCAGTCGTACGATGAAGATTTACCGAGGAAAACGAGGTTAACGGGGTTCGAAGGAAGAAAGTTTGAAGAAGTGGTAGTCGTGACGCGAAACCACAAAATGTCGTGCACAGAAGAGAACAAACAAGGAGAAGAGCCGTGATAATAATAGGGTAGACAAAATAGGGTCGAGTCGGAGTAAGGATATCGATCAACGCGAACACGACTTGTGCGGAAACGATCGAGTCGATCGTCTCGAAAAGTGTTGACTGTTTGACAGCTAGATTTACACTGAAGAACAACCGAAGAGTTTTCATATGCCGCAACGGGAGCTTCGGGCTTCGACCCGATGCGATGCGATGCGATGCGATGCCATGCGATGCGATGCGATGGAGCAGTGAGGGGAAGTCGGTGTGTTATTGTACGCAGACCATGGGCCACACCATTCATGGTGGGGCAGAAAGGACGCCAGATCAATATTAGGGCGTAGACTCAAGGGCAAGGACCGTTATCGCACTGTACAGTGTACAGTATACATGACCGCTTCGCGTGCGTTTCGTGCAAAAAGGACAATCAATGATATTTTAAATGGAACCTCACCGTGCACCGATACGTCGCGTCGACGTCGATGGTTAGCTCGATCGTTACAAGCGTACATATCTACGTACATATACATGTATATTATGTTTACGTGCGTGCACACAAATTTTGTAATCCGCCATTAGTTTAATGAAACGCACAAATAAGTTAAATTCTATATGTTATGCACGCGGTATTTATCGTGATTAAAATTTTACCAACAATTCAGCTAAAAATGGAACCAAGTACACGCATTGCATCAAGAAAGATAGAAAGTTTAGACTTTCTATCGTTTATCTTTTTGAAAAAAATAGCTTTCCAGATCGTATCGTTTGACTTTGTCTGCTCTCCCGGTTGTGTATGTACAAGCTGTTCGAAACGGTAACACGAGAACATTTTTCGTGGAGCTAAACATTTCGGTGTGTGTAAATATTTTCCGATACGTGGCATTCACGTAAGTAGAGATAGGATAAATGTAACTACACGCGTAAAGTGTAGATAAACCGTAGATAAAAATTGTCGAGCACCGAAAAAAGAACCTTGTCGGATGACCAAGCCTTCTATATCATCAGCTGGTCGTTATTAATCCTGAGTCACCTAGGCATGTATTATACTTGTATGTACGTGTACATGTATATTCCTCTAGGCTCCAGCTAACTACGATACATATTATACGTTCGAGACATACTACTACATGTACATTGTATGTTGCGGGACACGTTATCTTGACCTGCCTCAGTTAACATGAACGAGAGAGGGAGCATCGAAAAGTATAGAAATAGGGGCACTTTAGATCAGGGAATTAATAGCCAGCTCGTCGTCGCGTTGCGGTGCGTCGGCGTCGGCGTTGCCGTCCCTTGTAACTTAAACAGCTCGGTAAACATTGTTAAATCAATGTGCCATGTACGTTAACGTTAATTAATACGTCTGTCATCCACGCTTCGAACCAACTCTGACTCGCTCACCTTTTTTCTGATCCTCGCTATCGGAATCAAGTTCAACGTCGTGCAGTCTCATAGATTGCACGAATCCTCTCCACTGATTCCTCGATCTTCCCCTCTGGTTGAAATCGAATTTCAGATCTGCCAGTTGTTTGTCAGACTCCTTTAATAATCCATTCAAGATATCTGGTCTATCGAGCTCCTTGGTTCTCGACTCTTTCGAATCGTCTCCTACACATTCGGAATTCAAATTCAAGTACACGTTCCGATTGGATGACGATACTGAAGATCGGGCTTCGCTATCAGGTCGAACAATCTTTGCCTTTTCCTTTTTTGCGATATTATCGGTGACAGTTGTATCGTTCGCGTCGCTACCGAGTATATTTTTCTTTTCCTTTCTTTTCCGTTCCGGAGGACGCGGATGTGCTTCCTCCAGTTGCTTTTCACTTGTTTCGATTCCCGGTTGATCGGCATCCACGATACTCGTTTGCGACGATATTTTACTCGGCAATTTGGTGTTGATATGTTTGCTCGGTTGTTTATTCGAGGAGACGTTCCTCGAGTTGCCGTAGCGATCTTTGAGTGCCTCTCGGTTACCCCGTGATGCCTCAAACAGCTTCTGAGCCAATAATCTCGTTTTGTTCATTTCCGTTCCCAGTTTCTTCTCCTGTTTCACGAATTCGTTTCTCTTGCCTAATCTTTTCTCGTGTGCGTACGTTGCCGTTGCCGTTGCCGTTGCCGTTGCCGGCGAATTTGCTGTTTCGGCTGTTTGAAACATTTCCTGTATTTTTCGTATATCCGATCGAATTTTCGCTGAATTCGACAGTTCGGTTTTTTTATTCGGTACCGCGGACCGAATATTCGTCGTTTCGCTACTATTTCCTGTCCTGGAACATCTCTGCGCGGCCGGGCTATTTCTCAGTCTTTCTAGATCCTTCAAATCGGCCAACATGGAACTTGCCATCTTCGTAGACCTGTTGTAACTATCGACTGCTATGGTTCTTGGCCGATCTCTGTCCGTTCGCCGGCCGATCTTCTCTATCGGTATCTCCATAGTAGGCTCGACGAATACCGTATCTCGTATCTGATTCATGTTCCGCAACCTTGGCGCGGTGACCTTCAAGCCAGTCGTCCTCATAATAACCTTCTCTACGGATACGATGTCTCTTTCACGACCCAAGCGTCTTTCTTCGATCAATTTGGCTCGATGAACGTCGATTGCTGGCACAAACTGACCATGATACACCGGGCTGTTAACAGAGCCACCCGGCCGTGAATTGGCCACAGAATTGCCCGGTCTACTGGTTCGGAGCGGCGATATTCTGACCAACCTGGGCGCATCCCGCGGATCATCCGTCTGCAAGCTGCCTCTGTACACCATCTTCTCCGTCCTGACTTCACTATCCGATCCAATCCTATAATATCATCTACCTTCCTATCTTCTTCTGTTCACGTACATCGGATACTCATCTTGGTTCGCGCGTGTCTTAGGTCTGAAAAACAACGAATCCACTCCATTATCTATAACGAGTGCACAGAGATCTGTCCATTGCGAGAACATGTGCAAACAAGATTTATATTTAAAGCATCGCGAGATCACTAGTATATCTACATATATCACCGTCTTCCGTTTCTAGTGTCAGAGTAACACGAAACAGTAGCCTGACAAGCAACAGCCTAAAAGGAACAACAAAATCTACTCTTTTTTTATACACTGTATACGTTTCGAATCTCTTGCTTGAATAAGTTAAAAAGTACAAGTTGTTAGAAAAACGAAAGATTTATTGAATAATGAATTAATTCGAACGGTGTAGATTATTTCTATCGTTGTAGTTTGCTCGCTCGCTGTTTTCTCCACGCTTCGACTGACGTAACTGTTAATCGACGTAATTTACAATAGGGAGAGAGAGAGAGAGAGAGAGAAATTCAACTAGCATTCGTGGGCAAGGCTGCGTCACAGGAGTCGGTGGGTGTCACCATCATGTAGGTAGTGACCCACCCGGTCCGGCCATCTTGCGACACGTGCTGCATATCGACCGCGACGTGTAGGTGTTTCGCGCGTTCATACTTTTCTCCTTCTCGTTTAATTGCTCTTAACTCTTGCATTCTAATTATGCGAGATGAGAGATGTCGAGGGTGTTAGTTGACGATCGAACGACCGTAAATGGCCACCAAAATCGATCGCACGGAACGCGGTCGTTACGTTTCTTGGCTTCCATTAAAATCGCTAGCACCGTTTAGCGTACCTACTTACTCGAGGATTGCTCGCGACTAGCCGATTGTTATGTCCACAGCGACAGTGTAGATGACAGAAAATTATAATATTTTACGTACCGTTTCCGCCATAGACAGCCAAGTTTTATGACGCGAGGTCTGCCTGCCTGCGTGCCTGACTACGTGTCTGACTACGACTTGGCTCTGACTTGGATATTTCGAATCCGTTGCACGAGATTTTTCTTTCGTCCTGCTGTGTCTTGGATTTATTTGAACGATAAAAAGTGTTTTAAAGTCGTGGCTGATCTCTTATTGGTTCTGTAACAAAAAAATTAGCGCATTTCCTATGAAAAGGATACCGATGCCGATGCCGCGTACACGTGCGACCGCACACTTGGCTGTTTTATTTCTTTTTGCGTACAGAGTTTTATTATCCGTTACATATTCTTTTTGTTCTTAACGCTTGAGTCGCTTCGTTATATTACATAAGGCTTTCTTTTTACATTTTACAACTGTTGATTCGCGATTAAAAATGATTTATTGTACTATCGATACCAACTAATTCGATCATGTCAACACAGTTCGACGCGTGCGGTAATGACAAGTTTGTCTTGGTTTCGTATTCCTTGATGCTTTTACCGGTTTATCATCGAGTCAACATCATTCGGTATACCTATGTATTGTATTTATGTTGAGAACTCGGCAAATCCGCGTTTTTCTTCGACCAATGAGAGCTATCCACGCTAAACTAGCACGATCTTATGCAGAGAATGGGAACCTATCTTTGAGCAGGCTAGGGAATATGCATTCTATTTTACGTGCAATATTGATAAAGTTGATCAAGGTCTTGGCGTATAAATATAATATCAAATATTTTTGCATCAGACAAATTCATTTTCGCCCTCTAAAGAAAACGATTTCGCATTTCTTAAAGAAACGAATAAACTCGATCGTCGATCGTAGTCAAAAAAATGAAACTCACCCAAATGGTTTGATCCCATGACGGACAGCTGTATTGTTGGCTCGCTTGGACACACACACCCACAGACACCCGCACACCACCTAAGCCACCCTGACGAATACCAGACGACAGATTCCACGCGGTAAATTTGAAACTTGTGGGTTTATCGAAAAGATTCTTTGCGCTACTGTTGCATCGCGACAACTAACACACCTTACACGTGCACCTCCATTTTTCCGATTGAAACGAAACACCTCGAGTGACACGATCGCAGTCGTAGTCGTTGGACGTGGTTGTGGTCGTGGTCAATGATAAGCTACAGCAAGAGCTAGCCAGTGCCAAGAGTTGATTAAACAAACATCTTTGTTCCTTTTTTGTTCGGCCAAGCCGTTGGAACGGCACCAAGTTCCTTCGTGCAGCAAGGAACACTAAATGGGTTTGCCAGTAAAGAAACATAATCGCGTTTACAGCCTAGCTGTAGGTATACCACTCTTTTCCTTTCCTTTCCTTTCCTTTCCTTTCCGTTCTGTGCGAGCCAGTAGAGTACCGGAGGATCCCCACTATATGTACGCTCACAGCACGCGAGTACTCCCACACCACGCGACACTCGGTATACGTGGGTAGATCGTAAATCGTGGTTGGCATTGAAGAGGTACTAGAGAGTAGAGAGACCAGATGCCCGCCAACTGTCAAATCCTTCGAGACATGCGAAATCTCGCTGCAGCACGTAACATTTCGCCCAAAAATTTGTTTCCCTCAGATGTACCTATCATGCTTTCGCTAAACGTATACAATAAAGTGAAATTGTATTGACACATTGTAGTTAGGTAGTTGGGTAGTTGGGTAGTTGGGTAGTTGGGTAGTTGGGTAGTTGGGTAGTTGGGTAGTTGGGTAGTTAGTTAGTTAGTTAGTTAGTTAGTTAGTTAGTTAGGTAGGTAGGTAGGTAGGTAGGTAGGTAGGTGGGTGGGTAGGTAGGTAGGTAGGTACATTATTATTGTAAATGTAAAAAGTCATGACCACCGGGTGGTAGGTGGTACCGGGCGAGACTATATGTATAATTTACGTAGGTACTAAACAGCTTTGTTTCTTTTCTTGCTAAAACTTTCTACGAAATAGACTCGTAGTAGACTGTGCATCATTGTTCACCCTTTGACAATAGTCATTATCAACGAGTAGTATTCGTAATCGTTCCAAGTTCCAACTATCATTGTTACCGAATGGGTACAAGTTGCAGTCGGCATGCAGCGCGGTAATAATAGCATTCTGGACAAGCCCAGAGATGACACAACCTGCCAACAATGACTGCTGCGTATCGCGTACATCGGGATTTTACAGCCAACAGACTCTATTATAATAAAGTGAAATACCTATACCGTCCACGATATCGAGCACGAGACAGTTTCCGATCTTGTTAATAGCAGATCCAGCAAGTAGTGGGGATAACTCTAGTTACTCGTGCTTCCTTTTATTGTAGAAAGATTATTACAACTACAAAGACTGTATAAAGGCTATTAAACGGTAACTACAAGAAAAGAAACCATTGATCGTGTTTGTGTTTGACATTCGACGCAGCATTCAGCGACACCGCTTCAAGGACTTATCGTTGCATTATACGATACATACACGTATGCCTGACATCAGCGCTATGGAATCGCGACGAGCGCGTGTAACTTTTTCTAATGAGGCAAAGGTCACTTCCGGTCATACGAAAAGCGGAAACGCAGCACGTGCACGCCCGTATCCGGTCTCGCATTGTTGTTGCTGTTGCTGTTGCTGTTGAAGCATTTAAACGAAAAGTTGTTCACATTGAAAGCTTTACGAGTACAATTGTCCTAATAAGATATAATATTTAAAAAAATGAATAAATCAACCATTTATGTTTTCGAATAACTGGAGAAAACGCCTCAACTATTCACAAAAATACTATACGTAACTCACCTAATTCTCGAGTTCCGATAAGTTTTGAAAAGGTAGTTGAGCATTTACATACATAATATCAAACGACTGCAATTTGATGATCGATACCTACATCATCGATATGCATAATATATAATACATACAATTATATGATAACGACAAGTACGTACGAGTATAGTGTAACGTATAACTCTATAAAGGGAGATTTTCGACTCGTTTCACTCTTTCTTTCTCTGTTCTTCTATTCTTCTGTTCGGTTCTGTTCGACTATTGGAGAAATTTCGTTCGAGCCGTCTCATCTCGTCCGATATTCGAATAAATTCTACAGTTTCTTCGCGATTATGGTCCCAACTGTAGTAATACATCTTTTCCAGTGCCAATATAATGCACCCTAAAATCATTCCACCAGCCAGCACAGCTAAGATAGGCGCAACGCCACCCAATGTAACCACGGGATATCCGGTCTCGCGACAAGTGGTTACTATGAGAAACGTTTTTCTCAGCTTGTTCAGTACTCCGTTATCTTTGAACCGTTGCAACCTAAAAGTATCGACAAAGTATCGATACAGATCGTATCGTATTGACTCGTTCAACTAAACGATCAAGCGCAGTAAAGTAAATTGCATTATTTACTGATAATTTACTAATCCTGTATAAGGGCTGCCTTTATTCAAGACCAGTGCCAAACTGTCGATCTTGTCGGCTTCTATGTAGGCAACTTCGCAAGGCACACGATCCATGGTGTTCTGTATCGCTTCTGTTACGTAGAATCCCACTTTTTCCGAACAAACCTACAACGATTCGACGGAAATTGAAATCGATGAAATAATTGGATCGATCAGATGAAATTTTGAAGGAATTATTCGATTTACTCCAAGGTACCTGTTGAAAGGCATCCAACACTGTCAGAGGTAGGTCCTGTTTCTTCTTCAACAACCTCTTCAAACTCGACGACATGGTGTCGTTGGCAGACTAAAATTAATTCGTGTTCGCTTCACTGTCCGTCCTTTGATTCGTTCAACTTAATCAACGTAGTGTTGTGCTTACAACTATCATGTCGTAATCGGCGCTGTTTTTGAACACGATCAACTTGTACGAGCCGTGACGTGCGAATTCCTCGAGAGTAGAGAACGGCAGACTGACCATGGAGAGAGTCAGAAAACTGATCAACGAAGCGGAATAGGCAGACAGGATAACCAATGCTGTCAGAAAGATTGAGAGAAGAGCCAATCTCGACGAGGTCTCCTCTGGAAACTCTGAAGGAAAGTGAACGAATATGTATGTATGTGTGTACCCATTGTATTGTATATGTATACACGAACAGAATATTTTCAAAGAATATGCATGGCTGAGTCGCCCGTTACCTGAGACGCCCTGCTGACAAAAAATCCCCCAAACGTTTATGTAATTGTCCACGATAATGTTCGGGACGATTCGACCTCTCGTCTTTATAAACGTTAAAAGAATTGGGACGGATACGATTGTACATATTATCGCTGTCCAAATATCCATTTTGAACGTCTAAAGCCAGGAAATGTAGATACAATTGTAGATATCGATAGCATCAACTGTACCATTCTATCTTACGTTACGATTAGTTACAAACTTCATGAAAAAAGTAAGAAAAAACATCGAGTTGATGAATCAACCTTGAAATAGGCAGACCACTGGACGGAAGAGGCATCTGGTTTTTGAAAGTACACTTTGTTACGTGATAAGATCAATGGTAACGTAAAGTCGACTGCATCCAGTCTAGCGTTGCTTATGCTGAACTCTGCGATGCCGAAATCGACCATTCGTGACACTACTTCGCCTATCACACCGGTCCAGCTTTTCTTCTCTTCGTTCCAATTACCGTACACTTCCGAAGTACTGGTCACTTTGATTGTAAAGTTCATCGACTTGCTTAACTCGTGCATCACACCGCCAAGAAACTGCGTAAGAGCTCCGTCTTTCATTGCGATGAACGGGGATACCTTGAATTCCGTCCAAATTCAACAATGAAATCTCTTGATAATGAAAGTTGGAAAGATGTGTAAAGATATGACACTGTCCATCAATCTTGGAGAAAAAAGTGAAGTTTAAAAAAAAAGTGCTAAAACTGTATATGCATGATCGGCGTTGGTTGCCCTCGCAACCTCGTAAATCATTCCTATCGGTGAATCGTTTCGGTTAATCGGTGTCGTGACATCCAACAATGAGACAATTATCGATCTAAACTAAAGTGATTTCGGATTCAGAACTCGATGACAATCCCACAAACTCACCTTGACGTAGGCTATACGCATAACTTCACCGTGCATGTTGCTCCTCCTAGCGTACAGGCTGCTATTCGTTCTCAAATTGAATTCCCCGCCAGGTTTCCATACGGCCAGATTAAAGACTTTGGTAAGATTATCGCGCAACGCGTACCATTCCGTTAGAATTGGCATGTCGTAACAGAGCACCAACATTTCGGTATCGAACGCCAAATTAAACGGATTCCCTTTTCCTTTTCCTTTTCCATTTCCTTTTCCTTTTCCTTTTCCTTTTCCTTTTCCTTTCCCTTTCCCTTTCCCATTCCATTTCTCTTTCTCGCTCATGGTCCCGGTCCCGGCCGGATCACGACAGAAACTCTTCATAGGATTCTCCCGGTAAGGTAGGAACATGACGAACCACACGGGAAAAGAGATATCGATATGTTTGGTAGCCAATGCGAATTGATTCATCGTCTCGTTTGTAGTGAGGAGGACCACATACAGAGGACGTACGATGTAGTTTTGATATTTCTTAGTCTCGCGCGACAAATTGGAAAAGCTTACGATCATGGTCAAGATGCCTCTGCGGGAGAACGAACGAAACCATATTTGCGTCAGAGTCGTTTCGTTGAAACCTGAAATGATAATTTACAACAATTTTAAATCTTTCTAGTTTATCTCAAACACTTTTTCGAATAATATTCTATTTGAACTTTAACCAATCAAGTCCACCGTTAATCACAAGAAACGTAAACTTACTGGTACAACTTTCGGAACGCACGATTATGATGCAAGTTGTTCGATAATAATTGTAAACATCCGTGATTAGTAATATGTAATTATAAATGTCATTTACTTCTATCGGGCACGTTGAAGCAAACAAGAATGATAACGCAATGGTAGTGTAGCAAATGAACCGCGACATCTCGTTACTTAAATATCGTTCAAATCTGATCACTGTAATTATTTCACAGGATTACTTTGTTAACGATTCAATTTTCGGAATGGGTTATCGATTGATTCGAGTCATTCGACTAGCTTCGACAAAATTTACGTGTGGACGGTATGTTACGTTAAACCCGTAAAAATCATTTTTTTCTTTGACGATGTTCGATCGCCTCTAACCGTTAACCGACTAAACTAAAATGCAGCCAACCAACCGTCACACAACCGCGTTTCAATTTATCTGAATCTGTGGATCTACAGGGACGAACGATATATAATTTCGTACATTAGATATTGTCTACGAAATCGTATGAGCTACATTACGTACAAATTGCAATAAGATCAACGCCGATACAACTGTAATTACGCGCGCGCGCGCGTGTGTGTGTGTGTGCGCGCGCGCGCGCGTGTCAGTGCACGTATTCATATTGGCAAATGGGCATAACGTCGATTATTTATCAAACATTCTTACGGTACATTTTTGCAGTCTGTTCGTCTACGAATATAAGAGAAAAAGGAACAATTTACAAGTAAAGATATACGTTTCAAGATTCCAAGTATACATTAATTGTACAATGCACATACGTATAGTCTTCTTGTTGATGCTTTTCTTTATTATGCAAACTTTCAATTACTCGCATTTGAACGTTAAAACGAAATATCTCAACTGATTGTACCATATGTACATACATACATATCAAATGATTGCTCCGATGCGATGAATCGGAATAAAAATCGTTCCTCGGTCTACTCGCAAAATTCGAAATCTTTGAAGAATTATACATGAAAAAACGACCATCGATTAAGAACGTTCAAGAATATCGATTATATGATGCAACAATGTCAGGATGATTATTTGTAATGAGTGGTGAGTGGCGAGGAACGTGAATCATCGTTGTACGCAATAGTCACGTGACTATGTCAAATTTCGCATTTCACTCAAAAATGGCGCCGGTTTAGTTTATGCGAAAATTAACGCATCAACTAAAATCTCCGTTCGATAATAAATGACCAAGGTACCACGTGAAAGAAAGTCGTAATTGCAGAAAAGTCGAGAAAAATACAACTGAAATGATTTTATTATCAGAAGCGCCATTTTGTATCGACTAGACAGAAATATTTTTGACTGACAATACTGGCATGGCCGCGTGCATTGACTGGGGCATCATCATGGCGTGCGTGTGAATCGTCATTCGTTGCCTATATAATGCGTCATGACAGAACCAACAGAATATACGGAAAGTAGAATTTGACGAGAGAGGTTGTCAGTTGTCGATAATAATACGTTTATACCTTATAGAAATATAGTTTAAGATATTTCAATATCAATATCAATTTGTGTGTTACGTACATTTTGATGCTCAAGTGGACAGACAATTTGAACATGTCATTTAAAGTTTACTTAAAAAACAACGATGGTTCTACAAAAGACATTCGAAGATTTACTACCAAGACGAATGAGAGAGTAGATTTTAACGATGTTTGTGAAAAACTAAAACAGTTTTTCCCTGAACTTCGTGGCAACGAGTTCACAGTCTCGTGGATAGGTAATGTTTTTATCTACGATAATTACATTATTTTGTTGATAACATTTTTAAATCGTACTTCTCATATTAATTAACCAGTCATTTTAACCATGGTAACCATTCGCTCTCTGTTTAGAAAAATAACTTTCGTATAATGTTATTTACATTGATATAGTAATTTAACTCTATCGTTTAAGTAAACAAACTCTAATTTTCTAGATGTAGACAACGATGAAATTCGAATATGCAGTGATCAAGAACTCGAGGTGGCTACAAAATTGAACCCCGCCCTACTCCGACTGTACGTACATTTATGTCAAATTCCTAACAGAGGAGTATGGAATGGTGTAGTGTGTGATGGTTGTAATAATCAGCTTAAAGGATTTCGATACAAATGTGTTCGATGCAAAGATTACGATTTATGTTCACAGTGTGAATTATTAGGTTTACACGCGGATCATTATATGATTCGTATTTCGCATTCTCAACAGTGGTCAGCTCATCATGCCCCACGTTTGCATCGCGACGAAAGAAAATTTCTCAAAAAGAAAGCCATGTATTTTACAAACAATTACACATTTTATGATGGAAATGGTAGAGAAATGTTTAACCTTTTAAAGTTCCTAAAAAAGTTTGACTTGGATATGTCTTGGATAGTGGATATTAAAACTGGTACTAGTTCTGATACTAGTCCTGATACTAGTCCTGATACTTTGAATATTTCTCAAACTAATAAAACCGAAGAAAAAAAGGAATGCCAAACAAATATAACTACCAGCCAGACTGGTACAGAAAAAATTCCTGAAAAAGATACGAAACTCGTTATCGATTCAATCGACGAAACATTTACATCCGATAATGCGTCGGTTTCAAGTGCGGAGACAACTATTAAAAAAGCTGAAGGGACAGAAGAATGGACAATTTTAGATAAAACTGATACTTCCGATATCAATTCTACATCTTTCATTTCATCCGGTTTAAACGTTTTATCTGAAAAACAAGTAAGTTTTAGATTAGTTTTAAATAGAAGAATCTAACCCAAAATCATTACGACGCATCAATCAATAGAGAAAATTGCATCGTAATCGATAATACTTTTCAACACGTTGTGTTGAATATTACTTGACAGAAATAGAAGAATAAAAATGTTGAGAAAAAATAGAGTTCGTTGAACAAATTCCAAAGAAAGTATTCGTATTCTGTAACGTAATATAACGCTAACGAATTACGTTAGAAAATAGTTTCATTTGCAAATATAATAGTACATAGATATTCACCAATTATTTTCACGAAGGAGTACATTTCCTATTAATGATTTACGTTCATTGATAAACCGAAGAAATGTGTTTAAAGAATTGTTCAAAAGTACGTATGTTTTATTAGGTTTCCGCAAACGCATCGATGGTTTCATCAACGTCAAAAGAGGTTGATACGTCGGATCAGACAATATATCCTCAACTAGCAAAAGAAGAAGAAAGTTCATATCATCCCAATCCAAAAGTTCGTGAAGGTCTTTCGATAATGCTGGCAATGGGATATTCCAATAAATCAGGATTACTGACTCATTTACTAGAAGCTGAAGATGGAGACATTAAAAAGGTTTTGGACTTGTTAGATTAAAATACATGTAAATTACACATATTGTAGGTTTCCATAATTGGATCATGTCCAGAAAATTCAACTGAAACTATATAAAAGAAATTCTGTACTATTAGCAGATGTTATTGTCAATAACTGTTAGATTTGTGTTAATCTTTGACTTACAATTAATATATTACTGAAATCAATAAAGTAATTAAAATAAAAAAAAATTGTATTATTTCTTACCGTTGCGACACAACAATAAAGAGTTCTAAAATGATAATAAAATGAATATATATATATATACATAAACAAAAAGAGTAAATCGAAAAAAGAAAAAAATCTTAATTAGATTTTGTACCTACTAAAAAATTTATTTATATATAAAATATTTTATAAGGGTTTACAACGAGTCCAGAGTTCGAGTGGATTCCTATTGGACAATAGTTCTAGTTCTCTCTGTCCATTAGCAGTAATATTTCTAATCCATTTTCTGTCTTTATAATATTCCATGATAGTATTGAATTCATCGGAAGTATAATTTTCAACACACACGGGAACGAAAGGATCAACATGTTCAAATCCTTTCTTACCAAGTAAGTATCTTGGATATTCAGATTCTCTTTTATGCTATATAAACAGAAATAATTAATAATTAAATAATTATACTTTATCGAGTATTTTAGTATATTGTATTTTATCGCATTCATTTATCTATACCTTAGTTGCTCTTATATCTACTGTTAATATTGCAGCTCCATTACACCAATTATAATTTACACTGTTAAGGAATGCTGTAGTTAACGATATCCTTTCAGCTGGTACATTTACTTTGTTGTCATCTTGTATCGACGTGTAATCATCTGTAAGTGCATTAAAGCCATCTATAACAACTAACATTCTGCACTTTCCTGCGGTACTAGCTGCTTTAAGTTCATCCACCAATGCATTAACAACTCCGCAAGCAAATTTAATTCGTTGTATTCCGAATTCAAGAAGATTAGAAAGAGATTCCCCAGATTTTGTACTTTCTCGTTGACTCCATGTATAGTCTTTAGACACTTTTAACTGAAATATAATTAATCGAGCAATTACTCTAACCATACATGACAATAAAAACAATATCATTTCATACTTACATCCAATGCCGATAGTAAAGCATTGTTTAAATTTCTGAAATATTTCAACCATGTTCCAGCGTGTATAGGTAAATCTATTTTACCCGGTGTCAGCAGAGAGTTGGTAATTTCCTTTGGAAATCGAAACCATGTATTAACTAAAAGCATAGAAGAAAGAAATATGTATAAAGATTGGAAATTCGTATTGCCGTTATCGTAAGTTCGTACCGCTTGGTAAATGAAGCATAATGAATTTTTTTGCGAAACCATAGTGGATTAAATGCAGTAACGTTGTTGTTTTTCCTACACCATGTATACCATCTAATGAATATAATTGTAACGAAAATATAATTGCATGTATTTTTTAAATTATGAGTTTGGTCAACTATACATTTTGAATTTTTGTTTGAAACTTGAAAAGGATACATAAAATATATTTGTTAATAGATTTAGTGTAATCTGCTTGCTCCAGATACGACATTGTTTCAACCGCAGGTTTTCTAATCAATATAGCAAATTCTGCAAAAGTCTTAATTTGTTTCTTCCATTCATTGGGGATATCATTTTGTAAAAGATTTTGAATATCTGATGGTACTGTATAAATTCGATTCAAGTGATGAGTAACATGATTCGGGGGATATGTTTCTGTAGTACGAAACGGTTGCTCAATTTCTGGAGTTTCGATTTTTGTTGCAGCAACTGTCACAACTGTCCGTTGTCCATTCGCCATACACATTCTTCTGAACAATGAATCTGATAAAGTGAAAGACAGTTTTTCAGTGATTTCAATTTATAAATTGAATGTTTATGAATACACGGTGAAAAATAGATTGGTTTAATAATCGTCAAAATGAGATTGATATTAATAAATAATTGAACATACAAATACACGCAGACATCATGTTGTCTATGAAACCATAAGGAACGTCAAATAATCTTTATATCGAGTAATTATAATAGGTTAAAATATATATTCAGCACATAGAAAACGCGACAAGAGTCATATTTGTTACCAGAGAGTCCAAGCTCACGTATTAAAACTTGGTACAAAGTTTGTAGCGCCGCGTGGGAAAAATTCACTCAACTAAAATGTGGAACGAAAAAGCGTGCATATTTATATATGTATGTATGTAAATATAGTAGCGGGATTTTTAAATTGCTTTAAATTATTTAAAAAAATTTCAAAAATTATATTTTTTGAAACGACAGAAGTTCTTCAAACTGCGTCTGCACTTTCTCAGGTTTATTTTAGTTGGATGCATTTTTCCAACGCGGCGCTACAAACTTTGGATTCTCTGCTTGTACCATTGCAGTTGTATCAACTTGAAAATTGTACAGATACAGAGTTTGCGTCATGGATTAGAATATTATTCTAGTCAGAGGAGCGCAACGAAGGTACAAGCAAGTTCAGTTGTAGACAGTTGTAGACTGTGATTGGTGTTCGACGAAATCTATAACCTAGTATAACCTGCTATATGCCAATGCAATGAGAACTTTGATGTATATATTTTATATAAAGTTACTAGATAGGCCAGACCAAAAGGCTGCGAATTGCGAGTATTGACTGATATTGGCGTTGGCGTTGTCGGTACGGTACTGATAATACTAATGCTAATGCTAATGCTAATGCTAATTTGCTAATTTGCTAATTTGCTAATTTGCTAATTGGCTAATTTGGGTTAGGTCCGATGTGGATTAATATGGACAATGGTATACTGTAAAAGTAGTGCTATAAATGTATTAAAAACAACTTATTCCGTATCAGTCTCCTCTATTTACTATTCATCATTTATTACGAAGGTGGACCTACAGCAAAATGCAGTAAAGAAAACCACAGCCTGAGTAAACGAGTAGATTAGTTTTCTCTGACACAAGTACAGTTAATTAAGCCGCGAACTATACAATTTCGACGATAGCTGTCGTTAATATTAACTTGGTAACATATAACATAGTAGATTAGTGTAGTGTTTATTGAGAGAGGTAAAACGATCCCTGTACACATATACATATATATGTATATACAGGGTGTCCGAAAAGTCGGGGAGAAGCCGGAAATGGGGCGTAGCTGAGACGATTCTGAACAACAATTTCCTTTGCAAAAATGTCGGAAGGGGCTTCGTTAAGGAGATATTAAGCGAAAACCCCGACCAATCAGAGCGCGCGTAGACCGTTGGAGCGGCCGCGGTAGCGAAGTCTACGCGCTGACGGCCGCGGTTGTACGCGAACAAGTGACTCGACGTGCATCGAAGGACATTGACGTTGCCGCCTAGCGCGTAGCCTTCGCTATCGCGGCCGCTCGAACGGTCTACGCGCGCTCTGATTGGTCGGGGTTTTCCCTTAATATCTCCTTAACGAAACCCCATCCGACATTTTTGCAAAGGAAATTGTTGTTCAGAATCGTCTCAGCTACCCCCCATTTCCGGCTCCTCCCCGACTTTTGGGCCACCCTGTATATTATAATACAGAACAATAACACTTTCGTTATACACTTTGTTTGTAAATTAATTTAAAGTGTGCATATTGTATGAATATTTAAATGTATACGTATAGATAGACTTTGTATATAGATATATCCTTTTCCTTTGTCAAAGTACATCTAGATATAATACAATGCAATTCCTCCTAGTAATTCGACTTATAATCTAAGGTGTACGAGATAAAAAAATTCTTACCTAGAGAAAGAGAGAGAAAATAATCAAGTTAGATATACGTCGTTATTTATCACAGAAATACACTACTAGCGATATCTGTTGTATTTAAAATCTCATAATATCGATTTAGTTGTGTCACTCTTATGGTAAACGAGCGACACGTGGTCCATGTTGGTCCGCGTACAAGAATATATTGGAATCGTTAATATCTAACGCGATTAGTATCGAGTTTTTTACTTTTATAATTTTTAATCTAATCAGTGGGATTTGTAATTGTTTTGTAAACGATATACACTCAATGTAAATTTTGGGCCCGCTTATGTTCACCTATCCTGAACGTGAACGTGAACGTTAACCCACCAAGATTGAATTTTGAAATGATGTTTCACCACAGTTAACAGAAGCAGAACAGAAGAAGTATAGTCGTAGAGCTGTTATACGAAGGTACGAGCTGTCAATTTTTGTATCTAATCAGGCGAACAAATGTCAACATTTTTTGTCGACGAGTAGATACATTTAGACAGCGTTCTACGACCATTGGTACAAATCGAATAATGGAAAATATGCGATAATTGATCCGAGAGTTTAATATTTCATCAAATATGAATAAAATTCAACTCTGAGTAGTTCCGTTGAAAATAAAGCTCTGTTAAAAAAATATAATTACTTTGTATGTATGCATGTATGTATGTATGTATGTATGTATGTATGTATGTATGTATACATATATTATCGATCTAGACTTGTAAACTAAATAAAGCTTGCGTCAGGGTCTTATCGACCAATCGACTAGTTGAAGTTTTACATTTCACAATTCTGAATCACGAATGGTTTTCTTTGGTTTCTAAGGTGTTTGCAGTCTAAAATGGACTGGTGAAGATACTCTTCCGCGTTTCAAAACTCATAACTTGTCAATGGGATTTGCTTAGAAGTTAAACGTAGGTGGAAAGTGTTTATACGTGTGTCGAAGAAATGAAATGAAATGAAATGAAATGAAATGAAATGAAATGAAATGAAATGAAATGAAATGAAATTCTTGTTCGTTTGGCAAAGAGATGTCTGATTAATTTAAAGGTAGTTAGTTTTCGCAGTGCAACAGAAGAGATTCAGAGCTCCGCGAAAATAGGAGGATTGTCTAGCGGATCTACTAGGTTTGTCGTTGGTTTGATTCCGTCGTTGCGTTCGTCTGCCGTTAATACGGATGCCCTTGCTTCCGAGATTCTGCAAAGCTGTGTATTTCTCTGCAAACGGAAAACAAATGATCGTTCTAACTGAAAAGCGAGTGGCACTCCAAGATTCAACGTTGCGTCGTATTTTTTTTTACAGAAATTTTGGTAAACGCACACGTATGTAAGTAGGTAAAGATATACATAATACATATGCATATGCTCGTCTAGTTTCGTTAAGAAATTGTCAAGTTACAGCATGCACGAGAACCTTGACGGGCGACGAGTTCTCTTTTGGGAATTTTACTCGCAAGAGAAAAAATCGGACGGTCCTTTTCATTTTCTTATTTCCCTCTATTACGGCCGCACGCGTTCTTTCTCGAGCGTGAATTTCCCGTCCCGTGGTAGAACGCCGCGCCGCACGCCGAGGGGAAAGGGAAGTCCATGCTTCCGCTTGAGCTTGACCCGGTTTTCGTTCAATGTCACATCCCGTTCGTTCTTTCTTTCAGCACCGTTCGCTAATTCCCCCTAACGCTATTCCCTCGACAGAGTTTCGAGTTCACCATTAATATTCCAATCGATGACACAATGGCGCGCAGATCTATTTCGAAACCGAGACAAAACGGAATTTCGCAGAATTTAAAGTTGGTCTGAAGAAAAAGAAATTCTTCTCTGACAACTAGTAGAAGGAAATATGACGAAAGTAATACGGTTGTTTTGTAGAATCAATGGAAAGCTATAAAAGTAAAGTCAGAGTCAGAGTCAGAGGCAAAGTCAGAGGCGAAGGTGAAAAACGTCTAACAATAAGTCTCCTTTGAAATTCCAGACCTTGGCCTCCCGAGTAATCCGATTAGGGATAGTTGATTGTATACATATGTATGTGGAGGAAATGATAAAGAGGTCGAGGAAGGAAGATGTATGTGTACATCTACATCTACATCTATATCTACATCCACATATACAATATACATATACATAGATCAAAGTATCAACAAGGGTAAACAGACTGATGCGTTCACGGATACACGTGATCGAGTTAACAATTGCGACCAGGTTTCGAAGGAAATTATCGATAAAAGGTGCTGCGAACATCTCAGTTTCATCGGTTGCGAAACTCTTGACATTTTTGATAACAATGTATTCTTTCCATTTGAAAATCATATTTTCCGTATCATGATTATAAAAATTGAAAGAAACAGGAGAGAATAGAGAAACGCCGGCGCCGGGAGAAGAGAAAAGAGAGACGAGAGAAGAGAAAAGAGAGAAAGGAGATGAAAATGACGAGGGAACTGAAAAAGTATGATGTTACCTATATCGCCGTCCGACTGAGGCATAAACTCTTGCAGTTGGTCAATCAGCTCTCGAATTTCCTCCGAGTCTTTTTTAATACTGCACAGTTCCTCCTCGTAGAAATTCGGTGTAATCTGCGCGCACAAAACAATTTGCGAGATCGCGTTGCCAATCTTGGACGAGCCAGTTCGCGATTCTGAAACGGGAGAATAAAAGGTTCGAATCGAATTACATAGTATGTTTCTCATGTTTTTCATTGTGACACATTGCAGGATACTAAAAGACATAAAACGTTGACGGAAACTTTTTCCGATATGTCCTATACAGTTCCAAAGATATTCACGAAAATATGAATACTCGCAATTTGTTCGTGGAGACCTACATACGTGTACATACATGTATGCATACATAGGTATGTTCCACCCGTTGGATCGTTTCGCATCGCCGTCGCTGTCGCCGTCGCCGTCGCCGTCGCGTCGCGTCGTAGAGAAAGAAAAAATCGTCGAGTTATTAGCAATATTCGAATGCTACAACTATTCTTTGTTTGATTCATTTGATTTGACAAAATTCTTAGTAAATTAGCTCTCGCAAGTTAGAGGTGCTACAGAATCTTGTATTTCATCATCGTAGTGGCAACTGGACAAGGTGTGATCGGGCGACAAGTCGATATACATACCTAGCATCCATGATCATCCATGGTCACGTCACGGTTTCATTGTAAATTTATTTAAACAGCTCTGCGTAACCTCGACCCGACAAGCTTAAGCCCAAGTTCCAGCTTTAGCCCGAAGATTCAACAAAATGACTGTTATAGTAGTTGTAGCTTACCGTAATATTCGGTCATATCCATGGGCACAAGACGAATGAGACTTTTGCTTTTGTAGAGTTCGCGTAGAAACAGTTGAACAGCGTAAAACAGAAGCATCAAATTCGGACTGTCCACAGGGATCCCGATGTCCGTAGTCCTGAAAGATAGACGTGATTGCTGGCATAGAGTAGAAATGATATAATCGGAACTCGGTTGCAACCCACTCGGCGGTCGACGCGACGCGACGCGACGCGACGCGACGCGACGAATTAATCGCAATTCGACGTGACCAGAGAAAGATAAGTAATTTGAGATACAAGATTTTGTAAGATGGGTTGTATGAAGCGAGCAGTATTTCGAGTGTGTCATTTATTTTATTATAAATTTTAAACAGGATTTCCAGCAAGGTCTGATCCAATAAAGGATTCATCGCGTGCTTGACTTTCGACTTTCGACTCGGGAAACCAAAGAGTCTGTTTCTTTTGAAAAATTCGGAGGAATTTGAGAAATGAATTTACATCGAAATGCAAGTCGTACATCGAGATTCGTCCATTGCTTGCACGTTGCGGATTGCTGGCCGGAAAGAATTAAGAAGAGCGCAGAGGAGAGGAGAAAGGAACTCGATGAAACATTTACATTTTCATTAGCAACCGGCAAACTCGTGGAAAAAAATGTTTCAAAGCCCGGAAAATCCTTGGAGATTAAACCTCAGCCATTGTTCTCGATTGAAAGACCAATCGAAATCCTGTGAAATTCATTATGTTCTTTGTTACGAACATATAGAGATATCTCAGAAACGCTAATGTTACTTTCTTTTCACATGATTAGTAAGACTTAAAGAGGATTTTCTTTATTTAGGTATAATAAAAGGTTCTCTGCGCAGGTATAATTGTACACAAGCATGCAATGTTGACGGTTCACGGTTCACGGTATACGACGACCATACAAAAATTTCAATTAATCTTATAATTTAGAGGAAGAAATACGGTCGTAATAAGTTGGACAAATAGCAGGAGCTTTAGGAGCGGACAATGCGAGCAGACAATGCCTTTTACTATATTTTGGGATTTTTGACTCACGATAATAACGTGTTTTCAAGTTGAGTCGTTGAAAATCTGAAATATCACGCATCAAGAAACGGAAACCAGTCACAAACATGTTTGCGATCGTGACTGCGCTCAACATGTATCGTAGCAATCCATTTACCGCGTTAATTGAAATCTCATTAACCGGAAGCAATTCGAGTTTGCCCAACGCGACGTCTTCGTTTAACGTCCGACCGTTCGCGTTCACGTTCGCGTTCACGTTCGCGTTTGGCTCGGTGTAATTCACGTAAACCAGTTAATCGAGTGCCACGATTTCTCCTTCCTCTTTATTTTCAGCTTTATTTCGTGCTTTTATGTTGTATTACCTAACAAACGCCCCGTTTTCTATGCTACTTTAGCTAATGCTACCAACTCCGATATTCCAAAAAGATACTTGTATCGTATAGGTACAGTAGGTAATAGGTAATAGGTAATAGGTAATACGTACTTGGCTCGTTTCTTTATTATTTTTCATTTCACATTTCTTCGATTTCAATGATTCGTATCTTTAAGTAGATTTTAGACAGAAAATTACGCCAAGTTTACGTACCTTCGTACTTGTGGCAGTATCAGATGAGACGTGCCTTTACACGCTTCTACGCACGTTCGACGCAATCTTCGAATTTTCTCACGGAGTTCTGGACAGTCTCGCGGTTGCCCGATGTTTATCAGCAAATCGCGGAATTGTGCCACCTGGCTATTGATATCCTGTATTTGCTGTGAAATAAAATTTAACGACACACGATTAATCACTTTTTTAGTATACACGCACGCACGCACGCACGCACGCACGCACGCACGCACGCACGCACGCACACACACACATGCGCCTACATATGTATATCGCGGAATGCACCGCATCGATTTCAATACTCGATACGGTAGGCTTCCGATATTTGCAAACACGGCAATCGCGAGCTATCCTCGAACCTTTCAGCCCTTCAGCCCTTCAGTCCTTGAGCCCTTGAGCCCTTGAGCCTTTGAGTCTGTGGGTATAAATATAAAGAATTCTTCATGCAGCTGACGTTTATTGAATCATAAACAAAACGAAACGAGTAAAACTATCCTTTATCCGAAATAAGAATTCGAAACATTATTGTATCGTAGATATGTATTAAAAATCGAGTCTACATCGATTCGTTGCGCGTACAGTACAGTACAATAAATTGAACCTCGATATCTTTCGTACGAATAATGATCGATAACCACGAGAGAACATTTTGTAAACCGACTGGAATATTGGCTTTAAGTTCTGCGACAGAAGATTAGATCGAATACAATGACTGGTAGTATGGCACTGCACGCAGTAACTCTACCTAATCTTAAGAATAAGATTTAGTTAAGCGAGTAAACGAGTAAAACGATTTCATTAATTTACCAGAAAAACAAATTTTTCCGTTTTCTCGTTCTTCTCATCTTGCGCTTGTGTTTGAGCTTGAGCTTGAGCTTGAGCTTGAGCTTGACCGTGACTCTGGCTTTCCGTCTGCGTTTGGTTGTTACTGACCGACGCCGACGGTATCAGCGATTCCGTCATTGTTACAATTTTTCGCGTAATAATATCGCCCGATTTATTGTTAAATCGGATGGCTAAAAATGAACTTGATTACATTCAGAGTACAAGTAGGTAGATATACCTACCTAGGTGTAGGTACACGTATAGACAAACGAAAGAAACACTCTATTTACAAGTAGACTAGACGACGTCAATTAAAAGAGTTGTTTGTTGGATCGTTGCTGTTTTTGGCGATGGCAAAATCCATAAAAAGAATACTCGAATAAAGTGACCAAATTATTCTCGGTAGGAACGATTCGTAAATGTTAACGTAACATGGCACTTTATTGGTTTCGGCGTCGTCGTCGTCGTCCTCCTTCTACTCGACTTCATCATTCCTCGATATATGTATTGGCCTCCTTTTCGATGAAACTCGCCGAGACTTTTCAAGTTTTCACGACATCCTTCGACGACCGTTCCACAAGACGACATGCGCACCGTGTCAGCACACGCGACAAACTGAAACGTGGGTTTTGCCACCACGCCACACCATACCATACCATATCACATCACACACCACACCACAGACCACAACTCCTTTCGCCGGCACAATTTTCTCCTTAAGAGCGCATGTCTGACTTGGCCCGGGGTGGCGCGGCGCGGCGCGGCGCGGCGCGACCCGACGCGACACGCCAGTCTCTTACCTTACCTGACCATCGTATTGCATTCATTCTCACTTTCGATATCTCGATGCACGTGTTGTTTATTATAAAATGTTGGCTAATGGATTTGCAAAAAAAAAAAAAAAAAATCTCGTCGCATCTTTTTATGATGATGAGATATTGTGTTAGGTAAATGACGGAAAGATCAAATTATTTTCGGGATAAATGTTTGAAATAGGTTTCGTCGAAGAAACTGCACCTCTGACTTTTACCAGATTACGCTACTTGATTTTTAAACTAATTTTACCATGTTACAACGTGCAAACTCCATTCGAATAATTCGAAACCCATTTATTTATAATAGAAAAGATATGGTTAGATCTGAATTTGTGGTTATGAAATAAATGAAAGGAACTTTCGAATCGAATCGAAAGCACACGATGACTCGGTGTACATATGTATAGTATATACACACGTATGTACACAATGAGAGTGCAAAATCTACGGCAGATGTGAATTTACATTTACGTTAGCCTGCAGCTGTGATTGACCCTGTTAAACAAAGACGGAAACGAAAATGGATCCATGTTTCGTCTGTTTTAATTCGGATTGTGAGATCGTTTGATTGTTAGTGCTGCTACGGTTAAAGAAACATCGTCGTAGTAGTCTGGTGATTCGTTAAAAAAGAAAAAGAAAAAAAACAACAAGAATGACTAAAGAGACTGAAAAATGTGATCGAAATTAATCTTTTCTCCAAAGAATTATTTTTCCCGAGAAAGCCGTCATGTCAGCGCGAACACGTCCAACGACACGCGACGACTATGTTGTGCTCTGCGATTTGCATGTCGCTGTGCATGTAATGTATGCATTCGTTTTGCATCCATTAAAAATCAGGACGACCGCTGCAGTTCGGCCGCGGCCCGGTCAACGGTAATCGAGAAACGCAAACCACGATGGAAATGTAAATTCAAAATCGTTTCGGTTGGCTGTTTCGATTACAACCTTTGTATTTATCCTAAGGTAATTTCATCATTGGCGCGGAACGTGTGCACGGTTACCAGGATGCGTGTTCGTTTCCTCGTAAATGAAACAAGTCCTGTAGTAGTCGGGAAAAACGTAAATTAAGTTAAATTACGTTTTCCGTAGAATTGAAATTCTACAATTTCTCGAATACCACATCGTATTTATCCCCCGAACGGAAAATAATGAATTTTTCCTATATAATAATGTTATCGAACTTCTTTTCAATATACATATGTACAATATTATAGAAGCTTTCTATTTGAAATCTTTTCCACGATGAATCGATCGTGGCAAAAAGATTAACGAACTCGCCGGTTATCCTCTTAACTTTCAATATTCTCGTAGAAGAGGCGTCAGCTTCAAGATTTGAATCGTGCCCCGAACAACTAATTGCACACGAATTCGCTTGACGCTTGTCGTTGCCACCATTCTGACCGCGTCGGCGGCCGTCCGCGTCGCGGTATTTCTAGAATTTTTTATACCCCGTCGCGTCCTATTTGCATATTTTATCATCGATCCCAAAGTGCAAGAGCGCGGACAAATCCACGCGCTGCCGATATTCGACAATTTCTCTCGACAACGCGCGACGGGAGAAATGAACCGTGTACAATCGTGACTAATACTAATCGTATAGCTAATAATACTTTGTTTACAGTTTCGCTAAAATTGCCACTCCAAGTTGTTTTAACGTACATATGTATGAAGTTGTAGACCAAAATATTGGAAAACTTGCTCGAGAAATAAATTGATCGATTGCCGGGACAGACCTAGTCTATCCTTGCAAAAATGAAACATGCATCGGAAAGATGAATCGTTGGATCAATTTGTCCAAATGTTATGGTATCCGATGGTATCCGTATAACCGCACGGCAAACTAAAGCGTTTGTCGTGGTTCTTAGCATAATCGGATTTCATTTCGTATCGCTTCTCATTATCACTAGTCGATAGTCGACTGGCTTATGATTACGAGGCGAGTTGATAGGCAGCGCTAATGGGATCTATGTATGTAGAAAGCAACTTGGATCGATTCCAAAGTCCGAACCCGATGCCCATAGGCATAGGCATAAGCATCCATACTCTGTGGTTTGGTCACGCACCTTGTTCATCGATGTGCGTCCAATCTTGATACGGCTATTTGCCTTTGAATAATTAATATATTGCCTTGTCCGTTTCTCGGAATTATTCTACTTGGAACGTTTAACCGATTTCGTTTCGGAATCGATGCGTTAAATGTTTCCGGTATACCAGCGTGATCCACCCAATTGATCCCATTTCCGAGCTTAACTAGCAAATATTCCTTTCAACTGTCCGTCAACACCGAACAAGTGAACACGCTTGAACCTAAACGACGCGAGGCGACGATGTCGCGTTTGGGGTTGGCGCTTCAGCGAATTACCGTTAATTAAACCATGAGTTTTTAGTTTGATTGTTAGTCATTGTCTGCTACGACACGAATACTCGATGACAACGTTCAACTGGCGAATAACGATCACCACCGCACCGTAAACTCCGCAAATTCCCTTATCACTCTATTAATAAACATTTTAACAAAGAAATCGAGCGATAAGCAACAAGCAAAATATATTGTATAAATATGCGCAGCTATGTCGTCTTATTAATTTTTGTCGTAAGAGTATTTAGACAAACAGTAAAACTGATTACAAGTAAGGCATTTAAAATTGGTTGACCTTCCGGTAAATAAATTTCGCAATTATCTTTAAAAGGCCTTCTATATGCCACTTGATTGAGTGTATGAAATAATTGAGAACCGCTCCAAAGTGCCTTGTTCATTGTCAGTTTGGATTAAGCATATTCACATAGATTCGCACGACTACGAGTACGAGTACGAGTACACTCGCTGATTCGAGAGCGCTGACAATGAGAGAGAACGAGAGAGAGGCGCAGATTTATTCCGTGTTCTTTCCCTACTTTTTTCCTTCTCATTTTGATCGTTTCTTCCATTTTCTCTACGACGCGACGGCGACGCTAACGCCGATGTAAAACCCAAAGTATCGAATAATTATCGTCTAGCCCTGCGTCCATTATTCGTAGTCTCGGGGTGCACCAAGCATTTATTACACGCAGTAGTTTCGCGAGTAAAGTTTTAATACGAGCAGCGTACGTGTAAAGCTCCTTCGAGTGGCCAATTATTGCGATCATTCTAATGATAAACGTGTACGCGAGTCCATGACAATAGAAATCGCATAATGAATTTTTCTCATAATTTAAAAATAGTCTTTAATCTAACAATTGCAAGAAAATAAGTATCGTACGAGTAATCGCAGTGTAACCGCTATTCGATTCGCTTACATTACATCTAAGAAAAAAAGCGTCTCACAGCTGAGAAACCTTTCTCGCGATTGAAACATACATGTATGCGACTACACCAACTATCCGATGCAAATATTCTCCCGTCTACGCTTTAGAAGAATAAAAACTAATCTCGATGGCTATTTGATGGACGTTATTAAACGTTGAAAATAAATCGCTATACTATACGGCATACGGTATTTGCATCAGTCGGTTAGGTATACCTATAATACGAATAAAATGTCGCCCATCTATGCCCATTATGAATAACGATAGTTTGATTTGTTTACAATCATCGAAAGGATTACACTCTTTGTCGCCTCCTATTAAAAGTCGTCGCGTCGATTTATATATTAGATTAACGATTTAATGGATAACTCGATGAATGACCGTACGTATCGTACGTATCGTACGTATCGTACGTATCGTACGTGTCAGTGCGTAAATTGAACAAATTACAGAAGAATGCCTTCGGTGATGGTAGATGGACATGTATACCCTATGCACATGTACTTGTGCACATGTAGTCGACGATGCAGTAGGGTGTGACGACGGTTCTCATGTAATAAAGATCCCTTCAAATTTTTCGACAAATATTTCCGAATAATTCAATGTACATACATGTACATCGCTACGATTCCTAACAACTACAAACTCGTGGTGAAAGTATTTTTCTTTTTCTTTTCTTCTTGTAATATTAACTTTATAAAATATTACGTCACGTTGAGTTAGTAATAGTAAATCCATAGAAAAGAAATTGGCACGTGATACAATAAAAAATTGTGATATTTCGATTAAATTGCTGTTCAAGAGGAAATTCGAGTACCTTTGGAAATATCGCTCAACAATTCCATGGGTCGCGACATGAGCATCTCTGAATTGTACAATGGACAACTGGTCATAATTACACGTGACAACAAGTGCGTGTGGACAAGCACATGTGTTACAGTTTACGTGTGTGTGTGTGTGTGTGTGCGCGCGCGCGCGTCAAGATCGTAGGAATACGATCTTAATCCAAGATCAGTGTCCCGTGAAAAGTCCAAGAGTTGGCGCGTGCAACAGTGCGGCTGTGAATACATAGTATTTTTTTTTCTTCGTAATTCTTTTTGCTCGTCGTTTATTTCAAGATTTAAAAGTGTTTATTCATGTTATCGTAACATGGTGCTCTTGTTTTGGATATTTTGCATTTTCATCACAGGTAAGCTAAACATTTTCCATGTACCTAACTTAAGCTACATACTTTTATGTACATATAAAAACAAACAAATAAAAGGTCCACGCGTATATCCCGTTAATGTTAAGCCCGAGTGTCTATTCGATTTTCAAAGAAATTCCCTTCGACTCCAATGAAATTCGTTGAAATAAATTTATTGTTGATCCGGTTGTTTCTCTCCTTTCTTTTCAATATATTATAATTACATTTAATACTATTAATATTTTACACGAGTCGTGAACCCTTTTCGGTATAATAAACATATTTGGAATGTTTCATCGAAAGAGTGAAACTGATTGTTCGTAAGCTGTTTTGTAGGAGGTAAAAAAAAGGCACCGATCGACTCGATTAAAAATGAAAGTGCTTCGAAATGATTCGTTACAGGTAATCGTGGTGCGGTGAACAATGGCTTCAAAAGTTATCCAACGACTGTGAAAACATTCGAGAATGATACGGTTTTACTTCCATGTTACGTCGAAGATGTTGGTAAGTCTATCTTTTATATCCAATTCGAATCTATCGGTATCGGTTTTGAATCCGATTTGAAGATGACCCCAATGGTACGTGTTTGTGTCAGACTCGCAATCAGATCTCAGGTCCACGTAAAGCAAGAATAAATACGATGTCGTTATGGTTATGTAGCTACTCGTACGATCGATTACCTACCTGTTGGACGTTTACTTTATTTGGTCGCGATATCGACGGAAAATTGTGTACCATTGTGTACGTTGAGACGATCAACGATTCTAAGATCGCCGTAGATTAAAGACTTGATTTTATTCGGATCGAGTACCAACTTGTTGGCCCTTTAGTTGTTTTCAAGTTGACTTGAACGGTTCAACCGTTGGCTCAACCGTTCAATCCTTCGAAAGGATTGAAAATATTCTTCTATTTGTACATGTCCCTTTATCTACATACATATAAGTATATCCAGATAAAGTGCAAACTATGGTGAGGTGGTGGAGGGACGGGATCCTTTTGGCAGACAGCGGCGAGCCGCGACATGTACCACCGGAAAGAGTTCGAATGTACTCGAACCGTAGCTTGGAGGTTTCCCATGTGAAACGAAACGATACCGGGGAATACGTGTGTCAAGCGTCTCGACCAGCTCCCTGGGGATACGCTACGCAAGTACACGAGATCGAAGTGATGTGTGAGTGCAGCGATATATATACTGTAATATAGCATAAAATTATGTTATAATATGGTAAACAGGTAGAGAGGAGAGAGTAAATATGTAGAAACAAGAGGGAACCGAACAATTTGTCGAACGGTAACATTGCTCGCAGATCCGGCCAGCGTTCAACCAGTGCCAGAATCCGGAAAGTTGGAAGTAAATTTAGGAGAGGAAGTGGACATGGCGTGTGTGGCGAAAGGTGTTCCGGTCCCTATCGTATCCTGGAGAAACAAGGTAATCAGCGCGTTTCTATTGTACGATGTACGTCGATATATGATACAATAATATAATTGTCCAACTTTGAAAAATATAGTAAATAGGTACATGACGCGTAGATGATGCAAAATAATTCGTTATGATTAAATCGTGAAATGGTCATCGAACGCGGTTCCATGTCTACATACAAGTGTATGTATAGTAAATCGAACGTAGAAAACGATAAAAATATTTCTATTTATCTATACGTAGGACGGGGAAATACCATTCTTATACGACAGATCGCGTTTGCAATTTCACGCTGAAAGTCCCAGCGTCGCTGGTCGTTACACTTGCATCGCTAACAACGACGTCGGTGAACCAGCTACGGCGACCATAGACTTGTACATTAGATGTAAGTCAACGGATCGGTACAACTATTTTCAATCTATAATATTATTCGATTTACTACATTTACGTCACGCATGCTCGTTTCTACGTACGGAAGTATACGGCGGCTGGCATCCTCCATCCACGCTTAAATGGTCATGATTAAATTAGGAAATTGCCCAACATATTCCACTGTCCTCCTCTGTTTAGTATTCCGATCGTACGTCTGTACGATCTAATTGCAGCCACGCGATGTACAAATGCTTAAAGTCCTTTGCTACGATAATAATCGTTCATCGAATTAATCATAATTTTCATTGTCAATCGCAATGTTGCGAATGAAACGTTACCTTGAGAACCTTTCTTATTAAACTTGTCGCTTTGTCGTTGTGTTAAACAATTACTCACGTTTCATCTAATATACGGCAATTCTAGACTTGGTTGGGGAAAGATTGACAACAGAAAACACGGCGGTGTACCTTTACGACCAATCCCCCATTTAAGGGATATTTTTACTTGAAATTCAAAGTGATTTGTGAAAATGTTCCGTAGCTTTGCCTACCTAATCTTACAATAGATGCACGTTTTATCGAATAAATAGACCTAACCCAGTTACGAATTACGAGTTACGAGTCACGAGATCGATATTTTTTCATATACGGTCAATCGACGATTCGGAACAAGACAGATAAGCCGACAATCGAGATGACGAAAAACTGGATGCACGCACCGCCTGGGATTCGAGTGCAGTTGCATTGCGGAGTGACCGCTTGGCCAGAGGCAACGGTGAGAACAATTTTACTAGACTATTTTTGATCAACCAAACCACTTGATGATGCTTCTAGGTCTAATTGTTCACTTGTCTTTAGTCCGTGTTAAAGAACGTTAGTACGCGTCTATAATCTCGAGAATACAAAGTTTTAGTACATACTGTATAAATGTTCTAACGGTGGAAAACCCTTTTGATAGGTGGAGTGGTACTTCAATAACAGAAGCGTCAAGTATTCGTCCGGAGTAGTGAAGCACAATGCCGGGAGCGATCACAGTTTAGTGATAAGAAACGTCAGGACGACAGATTACGGTTTCTATCTGTGCAGGGCTTCTAATTCGTTGGGAATCACCGAGGCGGCAGTTGAATTATCGGGTGTTGCGAATCCCGCCGTCTTCAAAAAGACCTCGCACAGTCTCTCGAAAACCTCGTATAATTTCGTTTGGGAGGTCGACAGTTACAGTCCGATCGTCCAATACGAGTTCAAATTTCGTAAATACAGGGTAAATACAGGGTATTTCTATTCTATGATATTTCGAAATGAATGTTGCCCGATACAACTGTTGTACGATACAAGTAACCATTTCTCTCCAACTCAAATGTATTTTAATCAAATGTATTTTTATCCCTTTTATTCGCTGCATTGGCGTTGCCGTTGCCGTTGCCGTTGCCGTTGGTCAGAACGGTGTCCCTGGAGAATGGCACACGTTGTATATACCGAGCGGCAACGATGCCAATAGCTTTATTCATACGTACTCCTTTAATTTGACGGGGTTGGAAGAAGCGACTCACTACGAAGCTCTCGTTTTGTCGAAAAACCGTTACGGCTGGAGCAAATCCTCCGAGATAATACGATTCGCGACGGAAGGCGCTCGTAAGTAACCAAGACAAATGATCATATTTCCTTTCTTTTTTTCTCTTACAAACGCATCGGCTATTCAACATTTCGCCATTTCGCGTTTTCACGACCTACATAATTTATTACAGCCGACAGGGAAAACTACATCACGAACGCGATACAAGAAGACAAAATCGTGCCAGGTAAACTATTATTTAACGATAACGTTGTTATAAACATCATGTTGTTTAATACATCCTCTTACTCGATCAACTTTCATGGCAAAACTTTCATAACAAAAATTACTTGAAATCATTTTGTCAACAGTGGTCCTCTCATCGTTGGCAAAAGACTATTCCTTTGGTCCTGGAATAAGCGGATCGACTATCAATCGAGCAAGGATAATGATAATGATACCTGTATTATATACTTTTAGCGTGTACCTTTGAAGTTTGAAGGCACTTGTATTGTATAAAATACTGTCGTCGCCTCGTGCATCAAATTAAGCTATTTCATGGAATAATTGTTAGATGATAGATGATAGATGATAGAAAACAAGAATAAGAGAAGAACATTGGAAGAAATATAATTTGGGTTCTATATATACATAGATAAAATATCGTAGCGTAAAGTTAGTATATTTTAAGATTGTAAATAAAACGTAGACATTTTTCAGAAAAGAAATTCGTTGTGTATTTCAAGCTTCCAAAAAATGTAAACCATCGCTAGGAACCGCTTCTGTCTAAACCCTTATTTATATCAGTTTAAACGAAAGGATCTAAAACGTAAATGTAAAATGTAAAATGTAAGCAGCTTACGTTGACTATGGAAAGGATTCGCTTCCAAACATAGCAACAATCGCTCAACTATACTATACTAATACTGGTTTCAGTACCAGAGGCGCCATCGGTGAGGTAACGGCCAAGTTTCAAGTGAAAATAGTTTTTCCTCGTTGTTGTTGGATGCCGCCACTAACTAAAGGGAGCGATAATTCATAATATTATATTGGAAATGGCGATTATAAAATTTCGCGCTACCTACGTCGCTACCTACCAAACTGACTAATTAAAAACGTGGATTCAATATTTTATACATTTTATATTTATACTCCTTGCTTTCGTTACTGTCCGTCACTCGCAAACTGTCACAACCCACAAACACACTGCACAACTGTGCACAATTGCACAACTCACCGCACTCGCAACTGCTTACGAGTCGAAAATTGTCATAAACTTACATGACTTTACATGACTCGTACATTGTTTTAATACTGTTTGCAGTATATGCTTATAGCTCGAGTACCTCGGGAGTCGGGACGTCGGGACTCGAGACCACTCGAGACTCGGTACTCGGTGCTTGGTGCTTGGTGCTCGGTGCTCGGGATACTTTGGGATACTTACCTCGGGACCGCTTGCGCTGAACCACACTGAACCGCTGAACGCGTACATATACTGTAGCTGCATATTCACATATTTGATACTACAGCTCCCAGCTCCCAGCTCCCAGCTCCCAGCTCCCAGCTCCCAGCTCCCAGCTCCCAGCCCCCAGCCCCTAGCCCCTAGCCCCCAGCCCCCAGCCCCTGAGCCCTAAGGCATCTGCATCTGACCACACTAGTGTAATTATTAACCGTACAACTTCCGTAATATTGCTATTAAAATATTATTTACAATGTTCTCCACATTTCTAAAAAGGGCACTCGTAAACTTCAATTTCTACAAGTGCAATATTCATAGTATGTTGCAATTATCTGATACTACTTTCAAAGAAGCGATTGGAAAACATATAAAAGTACAGGTTAGCCGTGCTCTATTATTTTTTCGTACCTCGATAATTCACCTTGTCCATTTTTCTACACCCTTTTTTCGTAATACGCTTCATTCATTATAATAAATACAGAAATCTCTTTTTATCTCAATTCTATCAGTTCTAAATCTATCTTAATATCCATGATATTAGTTGCTCTAAATGATTTATTGATATAGGGTTGGGTTCGCGCAGTCAGAAAGATGAAAGACGTTATTTTTCTTGACATCACCGATGGATCGACTTCGAAAATGTTGCAAATTATTGTACCAAAATCCATGAAACCTAATGAGTTAAGTTATGGAAGCAGTATCAAAGCGGAAGGAGAATTAGCTTTGGCTTCCGACGGTAGGGTTGAATTACTCGCAAGTGATATCGCTGTGATCGGTACATGCAATGTTATGGATGGATATCCTTTTGCCCCGAGAAAACAGTATTCCGAGGAATATGTTAGACAATATTTGCATTTAAGACCAAGGACCAGAAACTTTTCCAGCGTATTAAGATTACGCCACTTAGCATCCTCAGCTATTGAAAATTATTTTAGAGATAGACAATTTATTCGTATACATACTCCAATTTTAACCTCCAATGATTGCGAAGGTGCTGGTGAATTGTTTCTAGTAAAACCACATTCTACGCAAATATTAGATAGTATGAAAAGGGATGGTATTTCAGAAGAAGAATCGTATTTTAATGCCAGCACGTTTTTAACAGTTTCTGGCCAATTACATTTAGAAGTTGCTGCAAGGTGATTAAAATGAAAAATGTTTTAAGCGATAAATAACCAGCAATATATACCAGTCTTAAAAGTATACGTGAATCGTTACATTTTTTCAGAGCTCTTACAAAAGTATATACTTTTGGACCAACGTTCAGAGCTGAAAATTCTAAATCGAGATTACATTTATCTGAATTTTATATGTTAGAAGCTGAATTGGCATTTGTCGATACTATCGACGATCTAATAGACCAAGTTGAACTATTCATAAAATATATTACGAAAGATGTATTTGAAAAGGGTGCTTCTGATATTCAGTCGATTCATTGTCAAGAACCACAGTGGTTGAATCAAAAGTTTGCACGTATAACGTACGACGATGCAATTAAGATTTTAGAAAATAACGTTAATCAATTCAAACAGCCTATTACGTATGGAACTTTGCTTTCTAAGGAGCACGAGTTATTTTTAGTAAAATATAACGATAATATTCCTGTATTTGTCATAAATTGGCCACAAGAAATCAAACCTTTTTATATGAAAGAATGTAAAGATGATACTTCAAAGGTGAGAAATCTCAAATAAGAGATGTATGAGCTTTTAAGTAACAAACACCTTATATACCAAGTGGATACATGCTTTACTTTTCTTAAAGGTTGCTGCAATGGATCTCTTGGTACCTAATGTAGGGGAGTTAGTAGGAGGAAGTATTCGTCAAGATAATTATGAAAAATTAAAATCACAATTACCTTTAACATGTAATCTTTCATGGTATTTAGAACTTCGTAAATACGGCAATGTTACGACGGCTGGTTTTGGATTAGGCTTTGAAAGATTTTTACAATGTATTTTGAATATATCAAATATCAAGGATACTATCCCCTTTCCTAGATGGCCTCATAATTGCAGTTTATGAATAAAATTTTCAGGATTGTTGTGTATTTGATTCTTCCTAAACAAAGTAGCTGTCACCTGCTATTCAAATACTATAATAAATAAAGGCCATTCTATGAAAAGAGTAAAGTATATCTATACAAAGTAATTCGGAAGATAATTTCTTCTTTTTTTCTTCCTTTAAAGCTTACTCTCTGATGTGTACAGAAAGCATCATTTAATATCAGCTTAACGCTCGACATTACATATAGTTTTATTATGCCAAGGACGAAGAGTAAAATTAACTACGATACATATTTTTTTCCTAAAAATAAGTTTTATTGAATATCGAAACAAATCTCAACTAAAAAGTAACTTTTCATATTAATGCAATTTTATTTGTTCAAATATTTATATAGTTAACCTCTAATGATTTTTCAGCATATTGACGATTATTATAAGGGATATTTTAGAAAGGTAAATTTAGGATCATAAATAAGCAACCAAAGGCAGTCAGACCCCGAATAATCAACAATATTTTTTTTTTATACAACAAAATAATCCTCTAGTAGTAACTGTTTTTCTTCCTTACCCATTATCATCACGATTATTTTAGTATTGATATTATATACATTATAATCAACAATTTTATATCACACAAGTTGTATAGTATATCTAATAGACTTGGGTAATTTCACGTTACTTCTTGCGGGACCTCGTCTTTGTGTTTTGTAAAATCAAAACAGAGACGACATATATCTAGAAAACAATGCATCGAGTACCATTCGAATATTTTTACAAAGTACAAACGGTATGAAATTCTTAATTAGTCTTGTGCACGTCAGTGTTACATTTCTGACATCCTTGTGTCACAAAATGCGATTGCACTTTTCGTGTTGGGAATGCTACTACGCTATCTTGCTCTAATTAAATCGTCTTGATTACATTAACTATGTACAGTTCTTATTCTCTTTTCGCCTTAATTAAAATTAACAAAAGCTAAACACACGCATACGCTTACACTTTCATACATTAAAACACACGCTTTAACTTATACGGCGTGATGTTTCAAAGTGAAGAGGATGTAACTGATTTTTTTTACCGTATTGGCAGTCGAAAGGTAGACAAGTAAAAACAGGTATACAAAATGGAAAGAAAAATATGTAAAGAAGAAAAGAAACATGATCATACGATTAAAAAAGAGAGAGAGAGAGAGAGAGAGAGAGAGAGAGAGAGAGAGAGAGAGA